AACAGTTGTGAAATTCATATGTATAAGTGTCTTATCTGTATCACAGGATATTACTCTATCATTACAGTTGATGAGAATATGTGAGAATATGACTGTTTGGAATAGGTTTGGCTATTAATTTATAGAGACAGAACTTCCTCAGAAATGAAGAGGATGCTTCAGATGATCACTAGAATGATATGCTGCTGCACACATTTAAATACTGTAATTGCTTATGAGGAATACAGAAACTAAGACATTTGTGCCTCTCTCTTCTTGAAGAGCATGGCAGGTATGTAAAGCTTGTCAAGGGAGTATAATCTTCCTGACATTCCATCACTATATTTATGCTCTCTTTCTTCTGCATTTAAATTGAGGTGGAAATTTCCAGTGTTAGCCTATTGCTTTTAAAGATCCCTACCCAGCTTAACTGTATTTCAGTCCAGAAGAAGGGACTTTTGATTAATTCCACCCCTTCTTTCTTCAAAGATCATGTCTGGATTTAGGGTTCCATGACTATTTTAAATTACTATGTTTTTGGTAATAAACATTTTTGCAGTGATGCCAACTGTTTAAAGATACAATTTTACTTTTCATTCATTGGGCGGAAAAAGAAAACCTAACCAAGGAACTTTTCCTTAAGTGAAAGTTAAATGTCATTTCACTTTATACTCCTAAATATACATTGCCACCAACAATATGACAAAGGAATATGTTCCTTTACTCCCAATATCAATATTCCAGAACCTACTTTAGAATCCATATTGGCACAGGCAATTGGCAGGGATCTTTTGCTGCAGGGACCTTTACCCACTGTGGTACAGTGTCCGAGACTCACCTCATCAACTTCTATTCAGGATCCAGTGTCCCCAACTTCTCTTGGCCTTGGCTAATTCTTTGTGCACACAAGCTGTTTGAATTTTCAAGCTGCTTGAATTTTTGGTTGCTATCTGGCTTTACTGGTAACAGACAGTACATCTTCTCTTGGCTTTCGGTTTAAACATAGCAGTTTTTAGGTTCCTGCAGAAATCTCTTAAAATACTCCCACGCACAATTACACTCATCTGTCATAGTGCTAATGAAACTCTCCCGGGTGAACACTCACAGAGCTACTACATTTGAAGCATACACATTGGGTTCACTTATTTTTTAGGTTTTCCAAAAGCGAACAGAGCACAGGCACTGTGTCAAGAGATACCTTTGGGCTACAGATGTGCAGGTGTCACGGCGGGGCCCTGTAGAAGGGCCATGATCTCCTTAAGGTCCCCTCTCCGTGCCAAGTTGGCCCAAGGGCACCCTCTATTTCTTGCCCACCACGTCTTTGATGTTTAAATCAGTTGGGAGGCTGCCTTATGCCCTCTCGGACACGTCTCTATGTTGATTCAGACCATGTGGTTTCCCGGACTCCTCGTGGGTCTTGTCCTGCAAGTGGGTGCCTTGGGGCACCCTAGCCTTATGGGCTATGCATGGCTCCAACCACCTCTTATACCACGCCCCAAGCCTTGCAGTTGGAATAGACGTTGGTCTGTCTCTCTATCTGCACTCACGCCCGTTTCTCGGGTCTTTTCTGTACTGCTGCCCTTTTCTCAGGCCTTCTCGATATCACCGCCCCTCCTGGGGCTCTGTGCCCAGTCTGGGCCTTCTCCGCAGTGCTGCCCCCTTCTCCGGGGCCTCCCGCAGTGCTGCTCTCTCCCTGGGGCCTTCTCTGTACGGTTGCCCTCTCCTCTGGGGCCTTCTCTAAGTGCTGCCCCCTTTCTGGGGCTCGCCATGCCCGCACTGGGGCTTCTCAATAACACCCCTCTCTGGGGCTAGGGTCTATGTACCCCCTATGCTGCACCCACACTGGCGCTGGGGCCCCCACACCACTGTGGGTCCCTTTATGAGGCCTCCTCCAACCCCTAATAGCCTCACCCAAACCACCGGTGTAATAAATAACAACAAAGCAAACACAAGCCTCTTGGCTACAACTTAACTTAAGGCCGCCTGGCTAAAACCATGCTGCTCACGCATCTTAGAGCTACCTTCCTTACTCTGCTTGAGGAGTACCTGCGCTTCTCACATCTTAGCTCCTACTCCTGCCCCTCTGGCTGCTGGCAGGGGACTGGCCGGCCCGGCCTCAGCCCCTGGGCCTGTTGACTTATGAGGGCCAGGCCCTGCCCCTTCCAGTCAGCTGACTTCCTGGTTGACCCGGGCAACCCCCAGCTGTGCTCGTTATTCCCTGCCAAGGCTCTCTCCCTGGCAATTTCCGCCCTCTAGGAGCAGGGCACCTCAGTGCTCTGCGACAGCAGGCTTCCTGAGAAATGAGACCATGACTATTATTAGCACTCCCAGATTCACCAACAGATTTAGTAGA